CTCTCTCTGTGTTGTGAGCGTGTTAATGACCCAAATGTCTTTCGGCCAGTTCAAGAAAGACATTTGGGTCGCTAACACACTAAAAAGATAATGTCTCATATCAAGAATATTTAACATCGAAAAACATAAGAAAAAAATTAATTATTTTTAATAATATGTGGAAATCTTCATGTCTTGCCTGATGAAGGATGCGAGACCCGAAACTCGTGTAACAAAATTATGGAAAATAAAGCATAATTGTTTTTTTAAAATCCACATGACAACCAAAAACTTTTTAATATATACACTTTTCTCTCGTTGAAACTACTATAACCTCTTCTCTCTATATATATATATTTTAAGCATTTCACCCCAAGCAAGGCGGGAAGCAACTAGGACGCAAGGGGTTACAGAAAATTTAGAGCAAGATCAGATAGGAGTGATAGAAGAAAGGATGAGGGTAGTGGATAGATCAAGGCAACTGGAGATGTCGATTGACATTACACTTGAATAGCTAGAGATTATAGCTCACAGGGAAACAGGAAAAGGGAAAAGAGTTCCACAGGCGAGACATGAAGCTATTAGAGTAGAAGAGACGGCTATATTTAGGAGTTTCGACAGTGAATATATATATATATATATATATATATATATATATATATATATATATCCCTTATAAATATCATTAAGAAATGTACAACCCTTGTTGGTCAGAATAAGAAAATTAAGTTAATAAAAATAGCAATTCACCTGATCCAAATTAGAGAGGGGCAATATTGTTTATGAATTTGCAAGCCCCTTAAGCTACTGCGTTCCTGATCAAACCAAATTTATGAATAATTATATTTGACATAACACTATATGCTGATCAAGAAGAGCCATGTTACCTCGCTCAGACCATAGTTTAATTACAATATCCATTACACTAATTACCAAACTCCGTCTGCAACAGATTTAGGGAAATAGCACCATAGTCGCTTCATCCACATGTAAAAAAAACCGGCTAAAAATAATGGAAGCAATAATAGTAAAAATAAAAATAAAATAAATACTCAGTAATGCCAACTATGAAAATGGCCAAAACTTGCTACCGTCTTTGGACAATAAAAAAGTTCTAATCCCTTATATATATATTTTAATATATTTTCTGTTTATATTTTTATAAATATAATTTATTTAAGTAAATGCGGATTTTTAATTAAACAACAGTAATTACATTTACCGACCTGAATGTTCGATAAATTTCGTCGAAAATATTTGCTTCTCCAACAGGAATCGAACCTATAACCCTTAATGGTAACCATTATTTGATCTGATGTTAACCATTCAGCCATAAAGAAGCGTCTGATTAGCACAGTTCGAATTACTGTTTATAAACACACAATCTTCTGCGATTTTTCTCGATCATATCTGCTCACGAAACGTATCTTAACGTAAACAATGATAACATATTATGAAATGGATTAAGTTCGACAATTGTTTTAATATATTTTCACTTTACACGTTATTTTATAGATATAATTTATTTAAGTAAAATTTTATTAATTTCAGCCGATTTTTAATTAACAGTATTAATTATATTTACCGGTCTGAATGTTCCAGAAATTCCGTAGAAAATATGTGCTTCCCCAACAAACGTCAATATAAACATATGTCCACAAATCCTTCGTTTTTGAGTTATTAAGTTTAAAGAAACTTTACGATAGATGCGCTGTGTCGCAATAGTGACTAGGTTACATTGGTTATTCGTGTACATTTGTAGCTAGTCTCTTGTTAATGTTTAACGTGTGTAGTATTGAGTTAACTTAGAAGTGTTCCATTTAACAATGGCAAGATTTTCATATCGTGAGCAGGCAGATATGATTTTTACATACGGCCGCGCGAATGGTAATGGACGCGAGGCTGCACGACTGTATCAGATTGCGTTTCCAGCTCGAAGGTAGCCGATTCATCCAACTTTTGATACTGTTTATCGTCGTGTTGCTGAGACAGGATCCATGGCACCACAAACTATGAATCGAGGAAGACCGAGATCTGCTCGTGGGCCTGACCACAAACAACACATTCTACAGGTTGACGGAGACGATCCAGGTATCAGCACACGTCAAGTTGTCCTAGCATGTCGGACATCTCATAGTACTGCATCGAGGGAACTTCAAGAGCAGCTCCAGTATTCATATCATTTGAAATGTGTGCAGGTTTTTTGGCCTTCTGATCACTCATCACAGAACTTTTGCCGATGGTTTATTGCACAAACTGCCAATCCGTGGGTGGATATTTGTGGGCGGATCGGAACCATTAGAGGCCTCTAAGTGTTGACTTCAATGCTCATTTTTATATTTACACACGCTCTATATTGAGCACTTTATCCCATAAATATACCACACCTTAAGAGTATATATATATATATATATATATATATATATATATATATATATATATATTCAAGCAGGTTTGGTTAAATAATTTAGATATATCATGTCGATTTATTTTGGTTGTGATCCTTTCAAGTTCACGGATTCATTTCTTGGTAGCCTTAGTAAATTGATTAAGAAAAATACCCAAATTTCCTTTTAAATAGCTTTTATTTGGGAAAATAAAAACTATTTGAAAGGACATTTTGGTAAATAAATCGACATGATATTTTTAAATTATTTAACCAAATTTGTTTGAATGAAATTATGTGTTATGGTCCGGTTCCTTGTACCACGGTTATAGTCCAAGGTAGAACCAATAAAGAAGAACTCGAAGGCGGATATGGAATAACACAGATATATTACAAACAGGAATATATACAGAGAGGTAGAAAGGTGTTACTACGAACAATAAGGTTTAGTAGTAATTGTCTGAACGTGACTCTGTTTCGGACTGCCTCTGACTCGACTGACTGACTCGCTCGCTCTGGCTGACTGACGGACTCCTGACAGACCTCACTCCAGACTTCAGACTGAACGGTATTTAGTCACCACCCCCCACGAGGGCATCATGTGGTACAAGGCCGGTTTAATGTGGGATCTCCGAGCCCGTGGGCTCGGCCAAAAATATGCCCTTTGAACCCGGATAATCGGGTTCAGGGTCGGTTTACCTCCCCGAAAGAAACTCCGCCCTTCGGTGTAGCCTCGTTCGGGTTCCTCCCCGCCCGAAGTCAGAGAGTTCAGCCGGTCAGCCGGTCAGCCGGTCGCCCGACTCTGCTTCCTCTTGAGGCGCAGTATTTATTACGTATGGAATAGTCCATTATGTTATTATGGGTAAGGTCCCATAACACTATGCTGCCTAAATACACACACACACACACACACACACACACACACACACATATATATATATATATATGTTTGTAATGTCACTTGATGATTAGTAGGAATAATTCCAAGGAGGATATAAAACCAAAGAGAGCTCAATGTAAGAACAGAGCAATATAATAATGGATACAGAATCCTTAAAAACCTATTCGGTCAGGTGATAATTTATTTCGTGGAGTCAGACGTTTATCTTCTCTTTTAATGTTAAATCTTTTCCCTCTCTCCCCTTTCTTGATTTGTTTCCTCTTTCCTTTTCTTTGTGTCTGAATCAATTGAACTCCATTTATTTTTATAAAATTTGGTCTGAAGAGATGGACGTCTGAGTCTACGAAATCAATTATCACCTGATCGAATGGTTTTAAGATTCTGTATTCATTTATATATATATATATATATATATATATATATATATATATATATATATATTCAATTCAATGAAAACTGTCAACTTTAAGGGTTCATTGGTTATAATTTATTTATCCAGGGAATTTTCCTCAGACCATACTTCCAAGGGTGAAAAATGAATTTAAATTTACATATATTTTTATACACTTTTGAGGGGTAGTATGAAGTTGACGTAAGGTGATTCAGAGAGTGCGGGGAGATGGTTACAGACATGGTCGAAATTAGAGAGGGAAGGGAGAGATGGGAATGATTTTAAATGTATTTTTATTACAATACTTAATAGTGAGGAAGCGGGGTAAGGATATATATATATATATATATATATATATAAGTAGCAAGATTTGCCTGTTGGCCGGTTCATAGTCCTTCCTTCCTTTGAACAGGAGTAGATGCTTATCCCTTGCTTTCTGTTTAGGATTGGTTTCCCGGCGCCTTCGAAACTCTACTTCTAACGTCTCCGTCTAAACGCTGGAATTGTATTTATTAACTCTTTATTATTTTTCTTCTTCCCAATAGGAGCAGATATGTTCTTCTATTGTCCGGTTCTCACTCCTCCCTTGTCTTTTGAACAGGATTTGAAGTTTTCCCTTATCCCCTGTTTAGAATCAGCTTTCCGATCCTCCTAAGGTGTTTACATTCCCTTACACTCCCATTGGCCTCCTTGCGTCTTAGTGGCATTGTCGCCCTTATTGGGGCGAATTTGGTTAAAAAAATATACATGTGCGTTTGTGTGTGTGTGGCGAAAGAGAAAGAGAGAGAGAATAGGTTACAGATTGTTTTCTACGATAAGAAGTAGAATATAGATGTTTTGAAAAGTTTTAAATAATACATATTCCGAATGTGATGATGATAAATGTGTTTCGTACTTTTAAGAGGCAGAGAGAGAGAGAGAGAGAGAGAGAGACTGCTCTAAATCTCATTAGGTGTTCACAGCAAAGAGCAAAGTTAAGCGTAGGAGTATGCGGAAAACGATTAAAGAAATGCCACTCCCATCCTCTCACCCTCATTCCACTGTCTCATTCTGCCACGACCCCCACCGACTGCAATGAACTGCACACTATTGAAGCAGGCAAGTGGCAGTAGCAGAGGTACTCTCAATAGCAGCAGCAGCAGCAGCTGAATAAGAGTTTATTTCGTAACCAGACCGAGTTGTTGGCAATCGAAGTGAAAGGCAATTGCTAAATTTACCTTGCTCTTTTTTTCTTAGCATTTTCGAGGTTTGATTATGTTATATCGGCTTTTATTTATTTTATTTAATGATGGGATAGCTATTTGGTCCGTTAGGGGTTACGTGAAATATATTGGGGGGGGGGACTAAGGAGTGAAAGAGAAAGGAAAAACAGAAGAAAATAAAGGGTAAACAAAAAAGAAGGAAACGTAAGAACAGAAAAGAACGAAGAAGCAAGGGAAAGACAGAGACGAAGTCGAAGAAAGAAAGAAAGAAAGAAAGAAAGAAAGAAAGAAAGAAAGAGAATTGAAGTAAAAAATCGAACGGTGAAGACTTCATAAAATGATCGTGGTGAAGCAAAAGGCAGATGATGATGATGATGATGATGATGAGAATGACGGTGGTGGTGGTTGTTGTGCTGTTGATGATGTTGACGATAGTGATGTTTAACCATAAGGATTTGAAGAGAACATCTCTCGTGATGATGTCGAAAGGAGGACAAAGTGATGGTAAGACGATGAGTAAAGGGCGCCGGCCTAGAGATGGGGTGTTGCTGCTAAAGATGGGGTTAAAGACAGCGACGGACAGAGATTTAGGATTGAAAGAAGAAAAAAAAACGGAAAGGAATTAAAAATAATTCTTAAACATGTAAAAGAAAAAAAGAGAGAGAAGAAAAAGAAAGGGGAGAAAAAATAAGCAGTTGGGAGTGAGGAAGAGAAAGAGGAATGAAAAGAAGAAAAAAGGTAAAGCACGAAATGGTTGTGGCGAAGTTGATGAAGACTACAGAGGAGGAGGAGGAAAGAAGAAGAAGAACAACAACAACAACAAAAAGAAGAGGAAAACAGGTCGAAAAAAGAAGAAAAAGAATTTTTAAAATGAAATGATAATAATAATAATAATAATAATAAGAAGAAGAAGAAGAAGAAGAAGAAGAAGTAAAAAGAAAAGAAGAATAACAACAAAAAGAAGAGGAAAACAGGTCGAAAAAGAAGAAGAAAATGAATTTTAAAAGTGAAATATTAATAATAACAACAACAACAACAAAAAGAAGAGCAAAACAGATCGAAGAAGAAGAAGAAAAAGAAGAAGAAGAAAAAGAAGAAGAAGAAAAAGAATTTTAAAAGTAAAATATTATTATTAATAATAAAGAAAAACGAGACATTGAATCTTGAAAGGAGAATGAGAAGAGAAATGAAAAGAAACCTTTAAGAATGGAAAAATTAAATCTTCAAACAAAGGCGAATGAAAAATGACTAAGGGTGTATGATGGTGCAACAACAAATAATGAAGAAGATGATGAACATGATTTAGAAGAAGAAGAAGAAGAAGAAGAAGAGATTTATGATAAAAAAATGAAATAAAAATTATCGTAAAGTAAAAATACGAATGAAAATGAGTAGAAAAAGAAAAATAGAAGAGGACAGTGAAGAAAATAAAAAAACGTTTTCTTTAAGAATTCGAAAGAGCAAGCGATGGAAAAAAAAAAAAGAGAAAAGAAGAAAACTGTAGAGAAGAACTTATATAAGGTGCCAAAGACATTTATGAAAATATACTTAACGGTAGTTTGAAAAATTAAAACAAACTGTTTGGCAAAACCAAAAACCTAACCCTAATTCTTAACTTTAACCCTGCCTGTTTAACCGACCTTACCCGACAACGTTTGACTGGTTAACTTACGGTCCTTAACTTACAAACAAAGCTTCCTTACCCAAAACAAATTTGCAAAACAATTTGTCGCGCGGTAACGAGAAATTTATTCATAAGACATAACCGACATTTTAGACTCGGAATACTTAAAAAGACTATCGGATGGTAATTTGGTATACACCCTCCCCCCTTAGACAACCATACGACAGAAAATTGGTGAATTGTTCGCAACGGTCGACAGGGAAAGACAATTGTTAATAATTCAACAGTACGACTCCGCGTTCTGGTGGAAGTGTTTATCAAAATATGGCAGTGAGCAATAGTGTAAATAGGAGAACAAAGGCGGAGAGAGAAGCGAAAAAAAAAAAACGGGTTAGGAGAAAGAGGATCTGTGAATGAAAAGGTGGAATGTATTGTAAGAAGTGTGTACATAGATAAAAAGAGGATGAAGGAAACTGTTTAATAAAGGAACAAGAGAAGGAAATTCGGAAGAAAATCGTGAAAAAAGTAGCAAGTAAATAAAAATAAACGATTATGTACGAATAGGTATATAATGAACAACAAAAGAGGGAGATAAGAAAAAGGAAACGAGTGGGGGAATGTTTAGAAAGAAAGAAAGAAAGAAAGAAAGAAAGAAAGAAAGAAAGAAAGAAAGAAAAAGGAAAATGAATGAGTAGTGAAAAAGTAGTAGAAAGTAGTAAGAAAGAAATAACGAACATGAGAAGAAAGAAAGAAAAAGAAAGAAAGAAAGAAAAAAGAAAAAAGAAAGAAAGAAAGAAAGAAAAAGGAAAATGAATGGGTAGTGAAAAAGTAGTAAAAAAGAAATAAAGAACCTGAGAAGAAAGAAAGAAAGAAAAAGAAAGAAAGAAAGAAAAAAAGAAAAAAGAAAGAAAGAAAGAAAAAGGAAAATGAATGGGGAAAGTGAAAAGTAGTAAAAAGAAATAAAGAACATGAGAAGAAAGAAAGAAAGAAAAAGAAAGAAAGAAAGAAAAAAAAAAAAAAAAAGAAAGAAAGAAAGAAAGAAAGAAAAAGGAAAATGAATGAAAAGTGAAAAAGTAGTAAAAAAGAAATAAAGAACATGAGAAGAAAGAAAGAAAGAAAGAAAAAGAAAAAAGAAAGAAAGAAAGAAAATGTATGAATGCAGAAAATAAACGAATAAAAAGAAAAAGAAAGAAAATAAAAAAAGAAAAACATCGAAAAAATGTGAATGAATGAGCATAAAAAATGAATTAGAAAGAAAAAAAGAATGAATGAATAAACGTAGGAAGGAGGTTTATTTTATGCGCTAACTGAATTTATGACTAAATTTTGACATTTTTAACTTAAACATCTTTCGGTAGTTCATCTATAATCAAAAATAAATAAAAGATATTTCAGTGGTCAGGCAACTGTTACTGACAAAACAAGGCTATTAGATGTATAATTTTTAAAAAATTGACTAAAATGCATACACACTGGGATTAGATAACTATACCAGACACTGAGGTTAACACTGTGAGGTGATCTTGTGTTACAGGCTTGAACGCAATTTTCAGTCAATCTCAGGTCTGAAACAGACTGTGGCTACTCAGTGTTGATCTCAGTGCCCACTTTTATATTTACACCATACGCTCTACTGTTACTGAGCACTTTTAATCATAAATATAGCACACCATAAAACTGTATTTTTATATTTCATATATATATATATATATATATATATATATATATATATAATTAATACAAAAGGTGATTGATGTTACTTTCAGATTCCCACCTCCACAGTTCGTCCACTCGTCAGCGAGTATCAGAAGTTGATTTCTCGAATTTTCTTTTTTATATGCACTTATAATATTATTTTTTTCATAGCGTATGTGTGCAAGTCTGCGTTCGAGCGCATGCGCACATACGCCTGTCTGCGCGTATGTGCGTACGTGTAGAATGTCGTGATTATTTGTCATTTCCGTCGTTTATTTTTACTTTACACTCATATCATAACCTTTTCTCTCTTTATTTTTTTTTTCCTCTTTTTTCCCTTTATATATATATATATATATATATATATATATATATATATATATATATATATATATATATATATATAAAAGTGAACATAGAAGTCAACACTTAGAGGCGACAGTCAAATGTTGACTTCTATGTTCACTTTTATATTTACACACGCTCTATCTCTGATATTGAGCACTTTATCCCATAAATATAGCACACCTTAAGACTATATTTCTTCATATATATATATATATATATATATATAAACGCACATGCATGCACACACATATATATAAGATTTTCCGATTTCCTTTTGAATTTGTAGCTCTGATGAATTGGATCGTGATTACGATTCCAATGTAATAAATTATAACCATGGAATATTAGTGTTTGAGCCTTTTATATTATAACTATCTATCTATCTATCTATCTATCTATATATATATATATATATATATATATATATATATACACACACATATACATATATAATATACACACACACACACACACATATATATATATATATATATATATATATATATATATATATATATATATATATATATATATATATATATATATATAAAAGTATATATTTAAAAACAAATAAAAGTGTCCATATTCGCAAAGGCTAAATGCGCGCATTGTGCGTACGAAACTGGTTGCATGTATAAAGGCAGGCTGGAGTAATGGATAGAGGATAGGATTGTGGAACCGGAGAGTCGAGTTCGAATTCTATTCGAGTTCATTACACTCACTTACATGCTTATACCCTTGAGAAAACTAAGAATCCATCTTTTCTCCCACCCTAGCTATGGGTATATATTCTAGGAGAAAGACATCTCTGAATTCAAAACCTGTGTAGGGTTGTCTGGAGACTTTGTGGCATACCGTGCACTAAGTCTCTGTATTCGGCTCTTCCAAAAATGTGGTTGATTCTTTATAAAGACTTCACTACTATAATCAAATATGTGTGGCTAGTCTGGCTGTTGGTTCTAAGAACTTGAGCCTCATACATTGTAAATGACGGGAAGTGTGCAGTATAGTATATAAATATATAATGGGGTAAGAGGGCTCAACTCCAGTATCCGTGATAAAACGTTTACAGCCATGGACAATGCAAGCATAATAACACTGATTTGGAAAAAAATAATTGCAGCAAACATAAAAATAGCTGTACTGATTTTCACATATGATATCCGTTTTCACTCATCACTTTTTTTAGATATACATGTACGTACGTGTGTACGCATATACTCGAAAACCGAGACGATTTAAATGTTTCAGTAATAAACTACAGGATGGTCCGAAAGTCTTGTCACCGTACATAATCTAATTTTCTATTTCAAATGGCTGACACGAAAGTGATGATGTTTATATAGACCTTCTCGATGTGTGACAGCGTCAATGAAAAGTGAATTCAGTACATGTGCTTTGTATTATTTGTTCTTCTATTGTTCTCATTACTTTTTGACAAGACTTTCGGACCACGCTGTAAATAAACTATAATTAAAACCAAATTTATGAACACTGAATTCCAATTAATACTTTTACAGACTGGTGACATATCAAGATATCCTTTTGTTTAGAAATTAAAATGTCGTATTTCTGTCAATCCTATAATGGCCTATATCTATATAGAACCATTTTATATGTTGGATAGATGTTTATATTGTGATTTTTTTGACAATTCACGTAACTATATAGATGATCAATTTTTTTATACAGATTTCTGTGAGCTTTTACATAGCTCTGCAATGGTGTCCGGAACTTCAATACACCGAGGTTGCATCAACAAAGCTGATTCATTCTGTTACATATCCAGGTATTTCATGACAGTTGCACAAATTCGAATAATTATTCCCCTCCTGGGAACTGTTTACTATCTTTATTTTGAGTGTAAAATTGAAGGTCAGGACAAATCCTGGGCCCCTAAAATCTGTTGTAAACCCTGTTACAATGGAATAATTGGTTTAATGGCAAGAAAGCAACCTTCAATTTTGCTGTCCCAACGATTTGGAGACAAATATAAAAGCCATACTGATGATTATTTTTTATTTTTATCTAACAAATATAACTGGTTACAATGTTTTCTTCAAAAAAAGAAAATCAAATATCCCAATCTTCTCTTAGCAATTAGACCTGTTCAACACTCGGATGATTTTCTTGACCGTAGTCCCCCTCCAAAATAAGGATCTTTTTTTAACCAGATGAGGAAATACCATCAGAGGAGGACTCTGCCAATTTGGGCTCTTCCGATGACAATGTGTCTGTTTATTCAGGAGAAAGTGTCAATATATCCGGCTAGATCAAACCTGGACACCTGAATGATTTCGTCCGTGATTTTTACCTGTCTAAACAGCAATCAGCGCTGCAGCCTTTTCTAGCAGAAGCAGTGGAATCTGGCCAAGGCAGATGTAAGGATCAGGACACAGAACAAGGAATTTGCCTCATTCTCCTACATTGGTAAAATGGTTGTGCTACTGCCAAAACTGTTTCTGGTTTGTTCATCTCAGATTGAGGATATGGGTTTACCGAATGTCACACAAGATTCAATTTCTCCACTTCCACCACAAATTCTTCCCGCCAAACCTTGAAGCGGCGAGTGATGAGTAATGGAAAAAGTTTCCAGCAAAATATTACGAAGATGGAGCGCAACTATCAAGGCCTGTGGAACCCTAGCATGATGGAGGACTTCTGCTGGATGCTCCTGAGAGACATCTCGTAGGCAAAGTCCACGAGCGACACTCCCCACCCCCCAAAAAAACCCTAACTTCTGACTGTCTGCTGTACTATCATGTGTATATTATGTACTATATAAATAATATTAGTATCTCTTATTTTCTATATGTTTTTCTGTAATATGACTTTTTTTAAATATTGTATGAAATAAATATACAAGCAATACAAACTAGACGTAAGAGAGCAAAAATTAGTAAAGACAAAACACTTATTCACATATTGTTTGACCTGATGATTGTTTGAAGTATAGTCCAAACTATATCTATCTATCTATCTATCTATCTATCTCTCTGACTGTTCATATCTACCCATCTATCTCAGTGTGATCAGATCTATCTATCTATCTATATATATATATATATATATATATTAAGGCATTAAAAACTAGAAATGTTGTATTGCAGGCCATGATAAGTTTAAAATAAAACACACACCAGTCGACCGGTTTCGTCCCCTCTCGTCAGAACTGTTAACGGGGAATTTAGATTATGAGGAAAAAAAAAAAAAGTCTGTCATGGGTGACATGAATGAATGGACAGGGAAGGAAGGAAAGATAAAATTATACCAACCAAGCTGCTAGAAGCGCAGAACAGCAAGTCCAAGCAAACAATCTCTTTGTTTGCAAAGAGAAACCGCTTGGACCTGATGTAAAGCGATTCCAACACCTTGAGATGGAAAAGTGAGTGCGAACTGGCCAAGACGGAAAACCAGTTCACACTGAAATCCATCGCACAAGTTGGATTCTTTATAAAATGATCCGCAATCGAAGACCCATAAGTGTTACGAATGGTATCGCCCAAAGAAAATTTTTTGTTTAGTATTATCGCAGGTACGTGTTGTTTAATTCTCACGTCCAACCGCTGTGTCGTTCTACCTATGTAGTCGCATCCACAACTACATTTGAAATAGTAAATAACAGAGTTAATAGAGTTTATTTTAAACTTATCATGGCCTGCAATACAACATTTCTAGTTTTTAATGCCTTAATACGCTTTTGTACCGTTTCTAACCTATTTAAATATATATATATATATATATATATATATATATATAAAAAGGCTTTCTGCCCTGGACATTGAGTTCTACTTGGATTCTATCCTCTTGGAATTATTTTTATACATATATGTATGTGTATGTATGTATGTATATATATTTATATATTTTAGATATATGATTGCATATGTATGTGTATATTTACCACTAATATTATCAATCTCTCTCTCTCTCTCTCTCTCTCTCTCTCTCTATGTCTCTCTCTCTTTATATATATATATATATATATATATATATATGCTCTTTATGCTTTTGTCTATTTTAATTTATAATTTAATCTATATTTAATTTTAATCTGTTTAATCTATTACCGTTTAATCTGCAATTATTCTTTTAACATATATGATTCTATCTAATCCTTTATATTTTAATCTATAATTAATCTATATAATCTTTACATTTAATCTTAA